TCCTGCCGTTCAACAAGCTCGCGAAGCGGCTCGCCGAACTTCCTGCTTCAACAACTTGAAGCAAATCGGCTTGGCCATGCACAACTATCACGATACGTTCGGTTCGTTCCCCAGCGGTTACATCGCCACGGGTTCCGATACGCGAACTCCACTTGCCGAGGGCGAACCTGGTTGGGGCTGGGCCTCGATGATCTTGCCGCAGATGGAACAAGGCAACATCTCCGATGGCCTGATCGATTTCCGTTTGAGCATTCACAACGGTACCAACCAAGCCGCGCGGGAAACCATCATTCAGGCCTACGCCTGCCCTAGCGATCAAGCACCGCAGCTGTTCGAGATGCACGACCACGACGAAAACGAACTATTCGACATCGCTTCGGCCAACTACGTCGGTTCGTTCGGTACCATCGAACTGCACGACTGCGAAGGTCTCGCCGCCGGGCAGCGCTGCGACGGCGACGGCATGCTCGGTCACAACAGCAAGCGAGCCATGCGAGACGTCACCGATGGAACCAGCCACACGCTGATGGTCGGCGAACGAGCGACTTCGCTCGGCGGTTCGGACGAACTGCTCTTCAGCACTTGGGTGGGTGCGGTTAGTGAAGGGGAAGAAGCGATTGCCCGGATCCTGGGCGTCGCCGATCACGCTCCGAACAGCCAGTACGAAGAAGATCACGACGATCACGGACATGGCCACGAAGAACACCACCTCGACGACTTCGGTAGCCGCCACCCAGCTGGTACCAACTTTGTCTTCGCCGACGGTTCGGCCCACCTGATCACCGAAACGATCGACCTCGACATCTACCGAGCCCTTGCCACCCGCTCTGGAGGCGAAGTGGTTCCTGGCGATGCTTACTAAAGCATCGTGTTAGAACGGGAAACGACTCACGTATCCCAAGCCACGAAGCCGGCACCCGGTTGCCAACACGCCGGGTGCTCCATAGCAACTCTTAAGCCCCGACAGGGGCGGCAGAAAATAGCCCAGGGTGGAAGCCCTGGGTTGGTTGCCATCAGAAACGGTTAGCCCTGGAAGGGCGACCGATGTCTTTCTACTTTAGTTCCGCCTTCACAGCGGGACGCCGAATGTATTCAGCAAACTCTTGATGTAGAAAGCCTGGAGCAGAGACCACCAGAGATAAGTTGGTTGTAAACGGTGCCGCCGAGCAGTTGTGAATCTGCCAGCGTGGGCCAATTTCCTTGGTGGCGTCTTGTATCAGCTTCTTCGCTTTGGTGTTGAAATCCTCGACACCCAACTCGTCAGCGACGTTGTAAACCTTGGTTTCCGTTAAATACTTCGACGTCAGTCGGGGGCCTTCGTTATGCTTTTGGACAGCATCAATTTCCGTAAGCATCACCTGGCCAAACTCATTCTCTTCCCCATGCTTAGCCAGAATGCCTCGGGCAATGATTTCTGCCAGGTCGTACTGCTTCTGATCCAATGCACCGTGAAACGCGCGGAGCACGTTATCGCCGATGGGTGCTTTCTCAGGCAATTCGGCGGCGCCGGCTACCCAGGTGGAACAGCAGAGTAAAATCGCAACTAATCCGCTTCGTACTGCTATCATCGCCGATCCCTCCGAAGATTGAACTCGTAAATCCCCAACGGAGGGTTAACCTAGCACCACCGGTCAATCGGCTGCAAGACGAATCCAATCCAGCGTCCACCATAAGCACAAGAAGTGCAGATATTGGTCGAATCCAACGGTGGCGAAGAATGCGTACGTGTTCTGCTTTTGATAGAAGTACGACGTCGCCCGGCTGGTGCAGAAGTCGACGACGAAGTGCAGCACGCCGTTAAGCAGGGCAAACTTCAGGCTCGGACCCAGGCCCAGCATCGGAATGCTCGCTACTCCCAGCACTGCCAGGTAAACACCGACATGGGCCGACAGTGCGGCCAGACTTTTACTTTTGTTTTCGGCCATCCACCGGCTTTGACACAGAAAGTCGGCGATCCAGTGGATCAGCATGATGTACGGCATGACTTAGTCTCAACCGAGCTCAGCGCTAGAACCCTAGCAGCGCTTCTTCTTCCTCGTCGATGATTGGCCCGCGCGGCCCCAGATATTTATACTCTGGCAGAGAAGTGCCAACCCTGATAATCCCCTGTTGGCCGAGTCGATCTTGGTGAACAACCTCCCTGAACGAGATCATGGAAGCAGGGTGATGCCACCAGGCCGGCAAAGCAGAAGCGGCTCGGCCTTCTCGGTAAATCTTCAAGCTCACTCCGTTGTCACGCAGCACGCTGGGTAGTTTGC